TCAAAATACCTATGTTGGAATAGTGCTATATATAAATCTAATACATATCCAAATCGCGCTTTCGAGACAGGAAGAACGCAATTTGAATTTTGTCAATCGGCCCAGTAGAACGAGAGATATAGAACTGTCCTTTTTTTTTTTTTTTTTTTTTTTTTGATGAATGCTGCTGCGTTTTGGAGTTCCAATGGTCACTAGATGAAATAGACAGCAATTACGTAGGAAAGTTCTGATTGCTATTCAAGATAAAAGCAGCAAAAAAGACGGAGATGTCTGTCTTCGTCTAATATTTCATAATGAAATAGATTAAATAAATTCAGATGTTCACAGTCTTTAGCTTTCTGGAAGAACTTGTTATTTGTTTTGCGTAATCCAGTCGCTCAATTTTTAAGTCCCTGTGGAGTACTTCGTTCCGCACAAAGTAGTGAGCACTAGTTATTTGTCTTAGAAAAGGATTTTGCACAACCTGAAGCTTGTTTAAATCAGTTTTTGTCACGGTAGTCCAGGCTGATAGGTGAGGCATACGTCATGATGGGACGAATAGTTGAAAGATAGATTAAACTCTTTTTGGTGAGATCAAGTTTTGAAAAGCGTCCTAACACATTATTAAAGTGGTTAGTCCATGTCATTTTACTATTCAGGGTAAAATGGCATGGACTGACAAGAATTTGCTTTTACCAAGGAAGAAAATAAATGTACCTTGAATGCTACACAGGACAGGGACGATGGGCTTTTGCGCTTCCCCTTTCCTCTCCAGACCATCTATTAATGCCTTGCCACCCATCCATCAATCGTTAGCAACAGTGCCACACAAAGAAATTCGAGTTCCAAAAGCCGTGGGAATTCACGCTGTGAGCAAGTTTAATCTAGGTAATACCATACTTACACCGATGCACACGCAGACGTTATGCACAACTCAAAATAAATCTTCTGCGCACCTAGTACCATATAATGGTCCTTTTCCATGTGTCCAGAAAGCCGCGTGTTATGTATCATCTACACATTCCTTCTTCGTATTTATTAAGCGTTTGGCGAAGAAAATTATCGACGAACAATAACCTTACTGCTACTGGAAAAGAAAAATCCATTTGATGAAGTACGTACTTATTTTACTTTACTTTCTATTTATCCTTATTTAATCCATTTTATTTATTTATACTTGATACTTTGGCACGATTTGCTCAACAGAATTAATCCTGACAGTACAATTGCAAGAAAAGGATTTGAGTGTTACACTAGCCTTAAAGGCAATAAGTAATTTAAAAACATTCATTGAAGAATATAGAAGTGACATCAATTACAAAAGTATTCCTGAGAAAGGCAAACAACTTTTAGTGAAGACGTGGATGGTGAGCCGCAGTTTAAAACTGTTGGAAGAAGTCCGATGAAGAAAAGCGAAATGTCACTTCGATTACGAGCATGCTGACAAATCCCCTCAATCTCCAGAAGAGAAGTTTAGGATGTCTTTTTTAGAATTTGGGATATTGTTTAAGCATCATTAAATGAAAAATTTGATGCAATGAAAAATCACTTCGATAATTTTAGTTTCCTGAGTAATTTATCAGAAATCGATAATGCAAATTTGACAATGAAATGCTGTAAATTAGAAAAATCGTTACAGTGTGGTGGCAATAAAAATATTAACGCAGAAGAACTTTATGACGAAATAATAGCTTCGAAAGACATTTTTACAGCCGGTATGAATGACTCATTCAATATTCTGAACTTAACTATGTCAAATAATTGGTGCTTTCCGAACTCGAAGGTTATATTGAGAATACTACTTAGCATTCATATTAGTATTTCTATAACGAAAGATCATTCTCCAAATTAAAATTGATCAAGACGTATTTACGGTCAAGTATATCACAAGAAAGATTCATAAATCTAGCTTTGATTGCCATTGAAAATGAAATCTGTTAAGAGATAGATGCAAAAGAAATTATAGAAAAAAATTGTAAACATGAAATGCAGAAAAATAAATTATTCTCGAAAAATTGTTACAAAAATTTCAACAAATGACTTCTTCAGAACTTCCTTCTCCTATATAAAAATTAAAAAAAGGCGGGATTGACTTCAGTTATTTTGCTGGCAGGATCCCGATAGCCTTGCGCCAGCGCTGCCCACAGCCAAAATTCACAGGGATTAAGATCTGAAGAACGAGATGGCCAGAGAGCGAAATTGCAGTTACAATGACAGTTTAAGTTTCTTAACTTTGTTGCGTTCTTTTTTTTTTTTTTTTTTTTTTTTCCATATCAGCAATAGAAATTAAAAAGAAATATTTCCATACTTCGTGTTCTTTTTCTTTCTTTCTTTCTTTTCTTCTTTATTATTATTATTATTATTATTATTATTATTATTATTATTATTTGTGCCTTTTCAGTATATTTTCCGTTGCTCAGCGCAACCTATCGGTGTTTCTGGAATTAACTTTTTTTTTTCACGTAATCCGCTTCCTACATGTCTTGAATAGTATGTTCCACAATTTTGGGGCCTTTACACTCAGTAGTTCTATGTATAGAGAGCTCGGAGTGGGGGTGTTTTAATTTTAACCAGCTTGTATATAAAGACACAAAGTAAGAAATTTAGAACTCATATTTCACTAAGACCAAAAATTGAAATTCATAATTAATGAATTTCAAATAATTGCAACTAAGAATTAGAAATGTTAAAACCAAAACACTTTAAACTAGCAAAACTCCATTTCTTCTTTGCTGAAGTACTTTGTTTTTTTCACTTTCGGTTTCAATTTTAATAAAATAGAATTCTCTTTTGATCAAACAGAATTATCTTTTCTTAAAGTTTTTCTAATTATTCTAATTAGAAATTATTTTGTTTTTTCCTTGCTTTGAGGAAGGGCCAGAATTTTCGGGTGAACTATTATAATTAAAATACACTGAAATGGTTCATCGGCTAATTCTGGATACAGAAAAGCAAGGATTTTTGTAGAAGAGAAAATTCAGTTGATTTCAGTGTTCCTTCTCCCTAATGAAGTAGCATTAAAGTTGACTAAATTCCTCACCTGTTTTTGTTCATTTTTCTTTAAATTTCATTAATTTCTTGAAGTGGAGTTTTGCTTGGTTAAAGTGTTTTGGTTTTAACATTTTTAAACTCTTTGTTGCAATTATTTGAAATTTATTAATTCTGAATTTCAATTTTTGATCTTCGTGAAATATTAGTTCCAAATTTCTTACTTTGTCTTTAATTGTAATTTTTTCTGCAGCTTACGAAAATAATCGAACTTTATCTAAACTTTACTAAGATGATAAGTCTGATATTGTTAGAACTTTATACTTTTTTTTTATCTGATATCCCAATGAGATCTAAAAAACAACTTTGTTTAAAAAATGTTCTTCCCTTGAGAATCCCCTTTCAAAGGCAACTAAAGTGATTACTTTAGCGTCTCCGTTTTGGGTTTTCCTTTTTAATTTACGACTTCACCGCAACTGAGCAAAAATCCTTGGATTAGCTGCACAATTTATACCAAGGTAAAACCGGAAATAGGATTTTTTTTTTGTGACATCTCCTTTCCTGAGTCCCTTTTTTGTTGTGCCTCTTCCTCGTGGTGCCCTAAGCACATGTTTTTATTTTATTTAATGATTAATATTCTCTTCTTGTAGATGAATTAAATGAATATTTTTCAACCGGGGTATTTAATGAATTGTATGAGGTAACTACAAAACCTAAGATTCTGTAAAAGTAAAAACAAATAAAGTTGCAAATGCTTGCCAAAAGAAATAGAAATGTTAATGGAGATAAAAAGAAAACTGAATTGTATAAAAGTTTTAAGGAAGTAGATTTGCACAGTTGGGGGGGGGGTTATTGTGTGTACCTGGAACATTAAAACCATGCTGACGAGCCTTAAGTTCAGTTCGCAATATTCGACTTATGTGAGTATTAGTCGAAAAACGTGAATATTTTTTTTTTTTTTGAAATTGTGGTTAAATAAATCAAAAACAACAAAAATTCTGATTTTCAAAACAAATTGAATAATACAGGTGCATTTCATAACAGAGTTTGTATTATTCAATTTTAATTGCATTTTTATTACATATATGTATTTTAAAATTTTATTTTTAATAAGTGGATGACTCACCTCTATTTTAATTTATTTTTCCTTATTATTGTAGCGGTAATTTTAAAGTAATATAAAGTAGAACTAAGAATGTAAAGTCCAATAAATGTTTCGACGTATTAATTAAAAATTATTTCTATTGGTGTATTTTAATGTAAAGTTTTATGAGAAAAATATGGTACATTTTCCTATTAATCGATTAGAAATTTATTCTTACCCGAATAAAAAGTTTACACGAGTCTCTAACTCCTTTTAATTCCAAAATTTTTAACAATTCACACTTTATAATCATAAATAAATCCTGAGAAATTCTCTTTCTCAAACATATTGGTTCGCAACAGAAAACTCTAAACCAAAGTTAATTTTAATTAATTAATAATCCCGATCCAATAATTAAATAAAATGTATTCTTAAATACATTCTTATGTATTTTAAACTTGTTTTGTCTGTACTATGATAAAAGCATTCTAGAATGCCAAAGTGAAAATAACCTTTCCGCGCAGCGAATTTGAAAACAGAAAGAAAGTTAAGAAAGCTACTTTTAATTGCGCCTCCTTCTTTAAATTTCTTTGCCAAAGGTTCACACAAGCTATAGCTACCCCGCTAGCGATTTTGTGACTGGCCAATAAGCCATTGCTATCCTCAGTCCATCCAACACATAGAAAAAGAAAGAACAAGACTTATCTCCCCTCATGCAAGTGCGTCAGCCATTGCAAATTCCCAAAACAGTGATAGCCCCAGGGATATTCCGCTCGGAGGGAAAAGGGAGGGCGGCCGCATGCCTATACTCAATTCACTCACCTGCGCGGAGGGAGAGAATAACTTTGCAACAGCAAATAAAAGAAAAAAATTCCTTCCCTCCTCCCCTGCGCGTTCACACATGCATCCACACTCACTTTTTCCTCCGTGATTTGATGACCTTGCACTGTCTTGGTGGGACGGTCCCGTAGCCGTGGCAACCGCGGACCGCTGCCATTACCGATGACGGAGGGGTGTTCGCTCGTACCTGGAATCGCCAATTAATAGAACAGGCCACGTCATCTGCTACAATACTCTGCGCTCTTTGCGCGAAGTTGCTGCCAAAGGAGTTCTTTGACTTCGCAAGTAGAGAAAGTTCTTGACGTTAGTCTTTCGCACACATTGGAATACCATGAGGTGATTCAACCTGGGTTGTCTGTGGTAGGAAGAACGAGAGACGTGTATTCGAACCGGACAGCCGCCATTTTCGATTTCGGACACTGAGGTCCGGCTGTGAGTGAATCGTGTCCGAAGAGTTTGAATCTGTTGTGATCTGGCGTGAGCGTGAAGTGTGTGGTGTTTTGGATCGAGAAGAAGCTGGTTGTACGGCAAACAGGGAGGACTGGTTCCCAGAAGGTTGGCCATGGAAGCAGATCAGACTGGTTTTTCGGGTTCGTCGCCGTCCAGCGTAGCAGGTGTAGCGGCCGCTTCTTCTACCTGTAGCGACGAGGCGAACAACGGGGAATCGACTCCCCCGACCCCCGGAGCAGGCAACAGGTGAGTTTACATCCCACTCTGGAAAGATATTTTTTATAATCTTTGTTTACTTAGTCTGTTCGCCATGGTGCCTAAGGCGTAGATCAAATTTTAGTCGTAATTCGTATTCGCGCCAGAACAATCTATACTGTGGGACACTCATTAAGTACGATCGTACTGATATTATTGCCTAATTTGGTCATTTTTTAAAAAATATAATCGGACAGTTTGCTTGATTTGTGAAATTTCTCCTCGGAGATGTTATTTAACTCAAAAGCAAGACTTCTTAACTTTAAGTGTATTTCAGCCTTTGGCAGAAAAAGTGTTTTACATTCTTCAGAACTGTGTGTATATCAAATAAACCTTCCTCATCGCTCATGTGTTCGCTAAGTTTTAATACCTTTTGATAAAGAAATAAAGTAAGGCAAATTTAGTGTTTACGAAAATTTGTATATGTATAATTTTTGAAAACATTTTGGGAAATAAATTTTGTTTTCTTTATAAAAAATGAGGATCGTAGATAACTTAGAAAGCTAAACGAATAATATGCATAATCATTATTATTACATTACTTAACATAATTAACTGGTTTTTTAAGGAGGAGGCAAATTTTAATTATATAAATTAAATATCTGATGAAGGAGCTGCTGAAATTATTTACATAAAGTTCTAAACCCATACTTGTTTATATATACACACTAACGCATTAAATTCTCTGCAACAATGCTTGTAAATGCAACAAAACTTGTATTTCTGTATGATCAATTTAAAACGAGTTTCTAATTTTTTTTTAATTAAAATAAATTTTGCAGATGCAGCTTTAGTAAGATGCAAAAATTAGTCGGATTTCTTACTTTCATTTAGCAACTATGCATATCACAATTTAAGAAATTAAATATTTAAAAGAAATTTTTAACTAAAAATATTTTTAAATTATATAAAATCGTGACTGTATATTGAAAATTTTGGTTGATCTTTACATTACGGTAACTTGGCGATTTTTTTGGCGAAATTTGGCGACCAACTCCCCTACAGCAACCCTCAGCAACCCTCTATTTTTTTTTTTTCCCCGCCGCCATTTTGTCTTCACGAAGTAAAGACATGTTTCTTTTCTTCTTATCTACTGAACACTTCTTCCAACAATCTACTAGCCGAATTACACTTATGCTAGAAATTTTATCAAACAAAAACTGCTTAATCATGACAAATATTCACTGCAAAATTCGGAAAAAGTGCACAATACCATACACCTTACGCGTTTTTTTCAAAATAACACATACACATAAACCATGTACACGCCGACTTTTTTTTACTTAAAAAACATCCCAGAATTGCACAAAAATGGCATTGCGCACACTCTTCACTATATCCATGTACACTGCTTTTTTCTCATAAATTCGAAAAATTTCACGAAAATACATGACAATTTTCTCAATCTTTAAACCCGGTAAAAGAACATATATGAAATTACCTGATCGCGAAAAAGTATTTACCCTTTACAAATATGAACATTTCCACATATAAAAATAATAAAATATCCAAAACTTTTACCTCTAAATCATCTATTACATTATACACGTCACCAACGAATTCATACATGAAGCATTACAAATATTTAGTATCAAATATTTAAATTATTTCCATGCACGTTTATTTCAACTTAAACGTAAACCAAATTCCTACAAGCATAAAATTCACAAAATAACTATCATTTCATTAAAATATCACTGAACCATGTACACGTCGACTTATTTTTACTTAAAAAAAACATCCCAGAATTGCACAAAAATGGCATTGCGCACACTCTTCACTATATCCATGTACAACTGCTTTATTCTCATAAATTAAAAAAATTTCACGAAAATACATGACAATTTTCTCAATCTTTAAACCCGGTAAAAAGAACATATATGAAATTACATGATCGCGAAAAGTATTTACCCTTTACCCTTTACAATATGAACATTTCCACATATAAAATAAATAAAATATCCAAAAACTTTTACCTCTAAATCATCTATTACATTATACACGTCACCAACGAATTCATACATGAAGCATTGCAAATATTTTTATCAAATATTTAAATTATTTCCATGCACGTTTATTTCAACTTAAACATACACCAAATTCCTACAAGTATAAATTCACAAAATAACTATCATTTCATTAAAATATAATTAAATTCAAAAACACCACTTAAAATATACAATGAGCACATACATTCAATTAATAAAAATTACCTTACAATCCTAATTACTTTAAACTAAATCATTGCTAATAACAATTTTCCCAATAATACCAAATTCCTTTCCACCTTACATTTCCAACAATGCATAAAAATAATTAAAAATACTAACTTACCTAACTACTATCTCTTCAGAATCTTCATTACGTGGCGGATACCTTTCTTTCTTCATTCTCTTTCAGAATCTTTAAAATCATACTTATCTTTCAAAGCAAGATACCAGGTAAAATAAATAACATAATAAAACATGTTTATTTCTCTCTCACACAACCTTAAAAAACATTTCTTACTATCCTTTTCAATACCACTAAATACCCATTTCGAATTCACTTTACTTACGGCCATGGCATTCCAAAAATTCACAATCACTATTTCACACAACACAGAATAAAGCCAAATACAAAATTTCCAGATTTTTTCCCGATTTCCCCCCTTTTCCGATTAAAGAACCGTAATTCGTCCATTAATATCACATGACATATCCCATGATCTCTCATTTCCCCCACACAAAATAATGCGTAATCGGAACTCAGTACTACTGCTCACATTATTACCAAAGTCCCAGGTAGTAACCTTTATCGCCTCCAAAATGTCGCCAAACTACCAGTTACCGTACTGTAAAGATCAACCAAAATTTTTTAATAATATTTACGATTTTTCATTGAAATTATGATACTTAACCCATAATTTATATTAGCAGAGCAGTAATTTGTAATATTACAAAATTCATAATACTGGTTTTCTTTTATTATAAATTATTTAAGGGTAAATGCTGATCTCTTATTCACATTTATGTGATTAATTTGAGAAAATAAGGTATGCAAATTTTCCTATATTTTATATATTTTATATTAAAATATTGCAGCTTCTTTTGTTCAAGGACTACTTTTTATGCAACTTAAAATATACCTTTAAAGTAATGTGTGGATCGGAAAAAACGCAGAATCTATACAAAAAAAAAAAAAAAAAAAAAAAAAAAAAAAAAAAATACATATGCAAATTAGGAAAAAGTTTTATAAATGTGATCTAAACTGATAGAAACGTTTTCGATAATCCGTGTTGATAAACACTGAACATTTACTTTGACGTAGAAATGTTTATCAACATCGACTCGACGCAAACCTTGCGCGTCATGCTATTTCTGTTGTATTGTCGACATGACTTGCAACTTTCCACAGTGATTCAATTTAATTGCATGGGAATAAAAACCTTTAATACCAGAAGCCTATATACAAAGCAAATTAATAATTATCTTAATTGATTTTACAGTATACGACATATTTAGGTGGACAAACAATACTTAACTATCCGTTCAGTTTTTACATAAAAAGGAATTCATTTGGTTTAAAAAATTAAAATAATAAGTTCCATTATGGATATTTTTATTTGGATGAGAGGAGAACTGATGCCAAAAACCGCTAACTAAACGATTATATCTCTCAAATATTCAGATAAATAACTTTATTTAAAAAAGGCAGTTTGAAAACTTACGACTACTGCCTAATATTTCAAAGAATTTAAAGTCACAAAAAGTTCTTTAAAAAATTATAAGATTAAAAAAGAACTGTAGTCTGTTCGTGGTATGCGGATTTTACTTTTGATGCCTGAAACAATTTTAAGCTAAGTAAGCTTGTTTTAAGAATTAATCCCACAGAAATGAAAAGATACAGAGCATAAAATCATGTATAAGTAGCCGATCCAAATGGTAGGGGAAAAGATTGATACCATACCATTTCATCATAAATTAATGCCACATAAAGAACTGTGAATTTAAATTAAAATAACAAATATTTCATGACTGTGTTTTTTGAATAATAATATTTTTTTTAGTCACTTTCAACAAATATTTCCCTTTAATTTCAATATTTTATTTTGCCAGGACAGGAAATCCACGAATTCAAAACAATAAACAACTTGAAATTTCGATATGTTTACTGAAGATAAAAAGCGTTTGTGTTTATTGACCTTTTCGATTAGTTTAAAAAAACATTAACAGTAACAAATGAAAATGTACAGGACTGATTTCAAAATTATCCTCAACTATTTATTAGCTACCGTCAAAAGAGGTTTTGCGAATTTTCATCATCAATCGATATTCATATTCCCTTCATTTGGCATGCCTTTTCCTAATGTTAAATCGATTGATTTTTTTTTTCGGAACTTTAAGCTGAAATAATTCGTTTTAAGGAAATAGGTAACATCGGAAACCTTTGCTGCACGTATGGCCAACTGGCGAAAAAGGGGGGGGGATCAGTTTCTTAAAAGTTGATAGTCAACGAAGCTGTTTTCTTTTATACTGATTTTCATAGGTTTCAGTTAAAATAGAACTTTAAGACAGACAAAAAAAAAAAAAAAAGCAACTGATCTCTGGATAGAGCTTGTATTTTGTCTGAAAACGAGATGATGTTACAAAATATCCTTCAGTTTAAATGAAGACTTATTGTAGAAATTCTCTGCTTTAAATAAGAGTTGAAATGCTCATACTAACATTCTCGGAAATATTTTATTTTTTTCTATGAACATCAGCTAACTACAAAATCACATTATATTTTTAGAGTGTTTGGATTCGTATAATGCTTAGTTCTGTTGCTCATTCAGATAAATTTTCCTTGATTTAAAATGTTTTAAGAAGTCCTGAATTGAAGTGAAAGCACCAAAAGTTATACCTCAGAATTCACATTTTTTTTTTTTTTTTTTTGTTTGTTTTGTTTTGTTGTTTCTATTTGAAAAACATACTGTTAATGTAAATTTCAAGTCTTTACCTGTCATTTAT